GAGCTAGAGTCACCAAACTTGACATATAGCTTCTAAAATAGATTATATATATGCATTTGATGTTGGAAGAAGAGGGTTCAGGGTATCCCCTAGTCGGGAGCTCCCGACTAGAACCTCTTACTTGTTTTGTTTTAAGCACGGAATTTGAGTTTACAATAAAATAGAAACATTTTAACATATCAGTCAGTTTATTTCTAACAGAAATTTTTAAAATTTAAGAATAAATAACGTGATCAACAGTACCAAATGAGAAAGTTGCTTGAGATGAGCGTCTAAGATCGATTATCGATAAGACTACAGAATGGGCAGATGATAGTTCTTGTCTATCGATCAGCCATACAAGTAAACAAAACTGTATATGTACATATATATGGTATTTCTTCGGCTTAGGTCTCCTACATAAAGGTCAAAATATTTCATATTTTTGGGTATTACGGGAATGAAAAGTAAATTTCTCATTTATTTTTGTTTGCTTAAGGCACTTAACCAACATATTTTTTCTAAAAAAATTAGGCATTTAACAAATACTGATATCATTTTCTCTAAAAATGAATGGCACAACATGAAAATAAGTTTTGTATATCTTACTTGTTTATTCATGAAAATTTAAATTAGATTTTGCGATAAAGAAATTGAATATAAAGCAATGAATAAACAATTTGTATGGTTAGTGATCTAAGTCTAGTCTACCTTTACCTATTAAATAGGTGAAAAAAGTCAAATACTTGTATCAAAAATAATGTCTGAACAAGTTTCTATTTAGATTATAAGTTTATGGACGATTGTATATATATATTATATTATTAATAAATATATATACATTTGTAATTATGAATTTTAGAATTAAATCAAAACATCATGTGATATAATTCTAAGTTTTCTGAGTTTAACCAGAATCCCTTGGAAATGGGTAAAAATGGTCATTCTACGGCACGCACAAATGAGGTTACATTGATATTTAAGGGTATCTCCTATTGGGGCACTCTCGACAAGAACACCTTTCATCCAAGCAGATATTATACGTCATGAAACCGTTAACAAGCTTTTTGAAATTAAACGCAGAATATATCCTTTGTCTCAATTATGTATTCAAGAGTTGTAGTTCTTTAGATTTTAGTAAATTAATATAACAAAAACACTTGATTACTGTTTTAAAGTTTTTTTTTTAAAAAAGTTAAGTTATTGCCTTGGCCTTCTGTCTAAATTTTACAGTAAATCATAGTCATACATAGGAGCATAATGGCTAATATATTATTTTCAACGGGTCAGAGCTGGCCTGTTCCCTTTATTTTGTACGTCACATATGTGAAGCAAATTAATAAACTATGCAAATGTATTACATGTTCAAGCCAACGCAAGAGGAAAATAGAGAGAGGGAGAGGGAGAGAGGGATAGAGAAAGAGAGAGAGAGAGAGATGTATGGATGCAATGTAGCATATATTAGAAGAGTGTGGAATGCGCAAATTCGACTTACATTTTGCAAGTCAGAATCTGTGCTTTCGTCACGAAATTTTTACTTAACCAAAAGATGTGGAATATTTTTATATTAGCTTTCACATTAATGCAACTTGTTGATTCATTTACGCTGCAGACCGCCACCTGGACGAAGTATGGAGTTTGTTAGGGCTGGTATCTTGGCGGAACTCTTCTTCACCTCATCAATTGCATGAAGCATGCGCTGCGGCTCAGTTAGAAACCAAATCCACAAGAGTTTGCTGTAGCGCCACAGCTTTTCTTTGTCCTAAATTGAAAAAGCGAACTTTCAGAACTCTTGAATCACATGTTCCCTTGCTGACTTACCATACGCTCTAAGATCTTTTCCTGGAACTGAGTGCGCAAACGGCGAAGCGACTCTTCAAAGCGTATCTGCTGCTGCGCGGCATCAAACATGGGGCATAAATACTGAACGTGCTCGAACATAGGTTGATCTAGAGGCGAGTTGTAGACGAAAGGGCATAGCGTTTGCTCCAAACGCTTGCTGTAAAACATTTGGAGCACGTCATAGCTATATGAAAATAACAAATAAATGATAAATGTTTTACTTACAGATCGGCCAGCTGCTCGTGCGCGTGCACTTGTGACTTTCCGCTCAACATGCTTTGCAAGGAGTAGGCTAAAAGACGGCCAAACTTTTCATACTCATACAAGCAGAGCTTAGCTTCAGCTGAGCGAACATTCTTGCCAAGGTGCGCGGACAGTTGACAAGCGATTTCCTGTAACAACGGTGCATAGGTGCCTCTGGGGCAGGAATTTAGCGAACGCATTGTTTGTATACGTTGCCAGCTCGCTTTCGCTTGAGCACAGAGACCTATGGAGCTGTCCGTACAGTTTCGTTTCTTTTCCAAGTCTAATTGTATAGCTATCCAAATAAGTTCGGCATTGGATAGTGCATCGGAAATGACACTTGTCAGCTGCTTGTCGTTTTCGCGGCGACGCAGAGCGCGTTCCAATTTCTGCTTTGTGTTTTCGTACAGGACCAGCTCCATGCGCTGCTGTGTGTGCTGCTGTACGTGCGTGGCCAGAGCATTTAGTAGAGTGTCGTGCGTGTTCTTTAGATGGTTTTCGTTGAGCAGTTGCAGGTCATGTGTTTCACGCACCATGTCAGCAAGGCAGATGCAATGAATTTGATTCAGATCAATGTGATCTGTCAGTGCTTGTGTGGCTTTTGCCTTGGCCTTTTCCTTTATATATTCGAGTGTATAATATTGGATGCTGTGCGTGTAATATAATTGTTTGTATGATTATTGTATTTAATATTTGCATGTATACTCACGAGTTTTGTAAATTTTCTAGCTTGCTGTTAAAATGTTGCACGTCCACTTCAGCGCTCTCAAAATCTACGAGCTCCTGTATTTTGAAGTTTTCCTTCATATAGAGAGTAAAATACTGCATGAATGAGTCGCATTTAAGGAAATACTGGTCAAGCGGCATCTGATGCATAAATAGCGGCGGCACTTGTGGTAAGGTGAAGCCCTTGTTGGTATCTTCACTGAGCTTACAGTTCTCCCGCTGCAACTCCTCTAATTGGCGAGCTTTGGCTTGACACTCGATTAACATTTCCCTTTCCGTATTATGCAGCAACAGTATTGTAGACTCTAGCTCACTCAGCTTGCTGATGAGACTGTGCTTTGTGTTCCTTTAACGAATGGTAACTGTAGTTCCTATTCTAGATGGTCGTTTTGTAGTTGTTAATAAAAGTTGCTTACTGCATTTCGTCGATTAGAGTCGAATAATCATTGGTTGCCTCCTCAATTACTTCCACCTCTGCAGCAAGCGCGTCTACATCCTGATTCGTGTACTTGAGCAGGCCAGGATTTTCAGATTCTATCTGCTGCAGCTTCAAAATCCTCTCAGATTCCTGTAGCCATTCGCCCCGCTGCATCATTTCGTCACGCTCCAACAACTCGCGTGCTGTGAGAATATTGGAGTCGGTAACATTCTCCGACAAGAAATTAAAAAACTTTTCAAACTGTTCGTCGTAAACTATCCATTGATTGGAGCTGTCGACGCCTAGTTTCTTAAGCATCTCCGAATTCTAATGGACAAACAATATCTTTTATAATATGATGTTAGTAGATCTTAGTTACTTACGTTCAGCAAATCGCCCATCATCAAGAAGCGAAATACAGATAATTTAACACAAATAAATAGATCCTGCTGCCATACGCAGAGCAATGCATTAGAGTAGCCGTGCAGGTGAATTATTAGGTTTAATTTAGGCGAAGAAGTGATTATATTTTGTTAAATCTTAGTAGTTTTGTACAAAAAATTGATTTTCGGTGGCGGGAAACCTATAATTGTCAACAAAATAAATAATTAAGAAACAAGACGTCGTGCTAACAGTGCCAAAATGAGTTGACTATCGATAAAATTATTGGTATGTTAACTCTAAGGTACATCGAATAAGATAAATAATTTTGAAAAACGATTATTGTTCACTTTCCACAGTAAAATTGAAACGAATTTAAATTAAACGGCTATTAATTGTCGAATACAAGGATCTAAAGCTGACGCGGATGCTAAAGCGGCACCGATAATTGTTCAGTTGAGGTCCCTTAGAAAAGATGGTCCAAATGAGTCGGGCTTTGGTTTAATAAATACCAGTTTATTTATGTTTGCTTTTTTATGACGGATTATTTCTAAATAAATTAAACCATTAAAAATGGTTACATTTTACAAATCATTGTTTATATAATTGTTCTTATTGATATTTTATTATATAAAACTGTAATTTAAATTTTCAACTGCAAATTTGCAAGAATTTGCTTAACTTGGCTTGTCGAACTACACGCGACTCTAAATTTATCGATATCCGACTAAATTTTGCACATTTATATATTGAAGTGCTTTCGATAGCGAGAAACTATCATCTGTTAGGTGTGTTACCGATTGGCCACACCTTTTAATGTTCTGTGCAGTAAATTTACTCATTTGGTACTGTTACACTAATTCATTTCATACTAAGTTTTCTAAGCATTTTCAATAATATTCGCCACCGGAAATTGATTCCTTGTGCAAAACTAAATATATTAAGGTAGAACCCTTCTTTTTTGGGTCGTTATGTATCGGAACTAAACGTTCAACGAAATATAATTAAGCAATCCCAACTCATGTAAACTCTTCTTTTCCTATCGGAACCAAGCTTAAAAATTTCCACTTAATAAGCAATTTATTACTTAATGACGATGTCTTAAGCCTTTAGTATATTTAAAGGCACAGATATGGCACGCAAAAAAAAAAAAAAAGGAAATAACGCTAAGCAATGTCATACATACATATGTATAAAGTGTGCTATTATACCTATTCACATAAGCTTAAAACTATTCCAGACTTTCCGTCGTTTGTGAAAATGTTGGTCTCATACAAAATGTGCAAATGCTTACGCGCTCCGGAACTCTGTTGCCATCGTTGCCGCACTTGTGTTCCCACTTTTGCCGCATGCACGGCTGCCTGTCAGTTCCTGCAATGGAGATGTTGCAAATTAGATAAGGCAATTAAAAAGTAAATTTATTAACCACAAATGTCCTTGCCTGCGTGCAATGTGCTGCGGAGATGTGTGATATAGCTACTGGCCAAGTGTATTATTTCTATTTTGGATAGTTTGCGGTTTACGGGCTCCGTCGGAATTAGGCCGCGCAGCTCCTCGTATGCAGCATTCACGCTAAAGAAAAGTGTGAAACAATTCTCAGATTAATCGTACTGTACTGTTACTGCAATGATGACCCACTTGAATGTACGGTGCCGCTCCCGAGCGTTGATCTTCTGCCTGGGCACTGCCAGCTTGCGGGAACTGCAAATAAGTGAGTCCTCCGAATCAGCGCCGACATTGCTGCCACTGCCATTGCTGTCGGCGTTGGCAAACGACGATAGAAGATATGATGAAAATTCAAGCACCTCACTGGCATTGATGGTAATGTTCATGTCCATGTCCATATCCATATTCATATCCATATTTAATATGTGCATGAGTGTGCCTACATATGTGCACTGTATGGTTCCCAGAGTGCGAATGAGCCGACGGAAGTGAAGCAACCTCTTCGGTCAGCTCGACGCGCTGATTGTGGGCTGCTGTTAAAAAAATTAAGTCATCATCGTCGCAAGTGACGACAAATTGTGCATGAACAGCAGCACCCAGGCAGCAATAAATAAAACGATACAACAAAACTAAATATCCCAACAGTACTTATGCGCACTTGTCAAAACAAACGCAATTCTCCTTTCTCCCTCTTTTGCATACGTCCGTGGTCGCAGATTGTTCGTCTCGCACTACCACACAAGGCGCGTGCTGTTGGCCCTGAAGCTGCGCCGTCGACGCCGACGCCGACGCCGCCGTCGACGGCTGCACAAGCGTTTAAATTGTAAAATTTTAATTGCTCGTAAGCCGCTTGCAATGGCGCGTCCCAGGATAAGCAACTGCATATTGCTGCTTTATTATTTCAATTTTCATTTATATATTTTAATTTAGCTTCATCATTATGCCCTCGTCCATCTACGCTGACCATCATGACCATCATCACTAACTGCAAATTTCATTTCTTTGCCTGTTTTCCAGCCCGGAACGGAAGTGGCACTTAAGTGTGTTTAGATGCTTCACATGCTTAGACCCCATGTAGTGCGTAACGTTGCCTCTTTTGCCAAGTACTTTGAATCGGAGCAAACTAACGTTGCGATATTCGCCTAGTAAAAGAAATCTGGTGTTTGTCCGGGCCTCCTTTTTGAGGCCGGATACGATTCGAATTTAAACTTTTCCAAATATTACTTTTACCCTCCTTCTTTAGAATACACTTCATTTACGCCTTTTCTGCGAACAGCTATCAGCCATTTGTATATTTACTTAAGACATTTCTTGGGGCTTTTCATGCCTATTCAGGCTTTCGAGCTTTGAGCTTAGCCCAGAGTCCTCTATAGCCCGAATATCAATTTGCGGCACAGATCAATTACGGGTCATAGCAGCCGAAACAAGTATGAATGCTCCTGCCTGGAATTGCGGGGATATTCCCCAAAACTTCTATAACATTCTTAGGGCATAAGTATGGCATTCAAATGTGTGGGGGTTGTGAGTAGCCAAATACTATATCACCTAAAATTTGTGTTTTTCAATTTTAGGTGAAGGTATCCACTTGCATAAGTGAAATATTCTGCCAGTATACTATAAGAAATTCTGCACAACGATTATGGTGTCTTTAGTTCTATAAAAAATCGATCACTCAATTTTAGAAAAACGCTGTGAAATTAACATTTTTTCTCAAATACAAAAAGCGTTCTTGACGATATGAGTTATGTTAAGAAACAAATTCCCTAAAAGGCAAATGTTTAAAAAAAATATATATTTTCAAATTGTGAAAAGAAACGTTTTTCTCTAGTGCAGGATGATTTAATTTTTTTATAAAATTTGTCTATTTTTCACTAACTATCTTTAACTCATTTTCACAAACAGCTTGAAGAGGACTTGATTATAAGCAAACAAGTTGCAAATTTTCCGAATCACGAATTGATAAAGTATATTTGTTGTAAATATACCCTGAACCTATTAAAAATGGGTAAAAGGGGCATAATGTATGTGAGCAAATGTATGTAACAGGCAGAAGGAAGCATCTTATACCCCATAAAGTATATATATTCTTGATCAGCATCAATGCCAAGTCGATCTAGCTATGGCCGTCTGTCTGTTTCAAAAAATTGCGATTGTGTTGTTTTCTTTATTGCTATTGTAATTCGTTTTTTTCTCAATAAAACTTAATTATTTGTGTGGATCTTGAGTAGAGCCGGCGGCAGTTAGTGCGGTTCTGAAATCCTTGCCGGACGGGCGGACATTTCTGCTTGGTGGCAATGGGGATCAAAGAAACCTGTGACGGTTTAAAATTGTATTCCTACATCGATTATAGAAATAGGAATATTCAATGTCCATGATATTTTTACCTTCCTTCTTTCCCATTATTATTCTACGCTATATATATATGATTATAGGGCATATATATTTTTTACACAGATCAAGTATGTTCAGCTTTAATAAATAAATAAAAACTACTACGATATACTGCAGAAATTCCTTCAGGTTAGATTAAGAAACACAGAACTAAGGGAGAACATATTGGCATTTTTTTAATTATATTGAATATTAATTGCAATTGCATTAAACATTGTGTTGTGTATATGTACTTATATTTTAATGAAGCTTTGGCTTTGGACTCAACGCGAACAGTCCCATTCAATTACAGCTTATAAAATACAAAAAATGCTAAAGATAGGTCCACAACCATAGCAGAACATTGAGTGCCTGTGCATGATGTGCAAACAATTAAATTATTTATTATGTTGAGTAATAAATAGTTAAACAAACAAGAACAAACTAAGCAATACGCCTCACCTGGGCCTCCACTGCAGCGGCGAGATTGACTAATCGCGAGTTAGCTTTTGTATATTTCGGCCCGGTTAGTGGTACCTTCGCCCGAGAAATAGCGACTTTCAATTTTGCGGTCCGCTTACAAAAACAGCATAAGCAAGAACTCGGCGCTGCCAAAGAGCCGTCCGCTGACAGCAACGCCCACTCTAATACCAGCAGTTCAAAAGCCGTCACTACAACAGCTTATACCTTAACAACTGACACAACGGTTAACAGCAAAACACACAGCACCTGCAATAGTGCAGCGCAGTTCGATTTGATTCAAGTGGCGTGGGCAGCGCAGTCGCACCTGCGAAGAGTCACCAAGCAGTCCTCACTGACTGAAACTGAAATGTTGTACCTTATGGGGTGGAGGTGCATGCTAATATGGGGTTTGGGGAATTCCACGCGAAATGTGGAAAAATTGACAAATCAATCCGATCAGCCTCAAAATCATTTAAGAAATGAGGATCAAAGATTTTGGGGGTGAAGTTTTGTGTTCAGATACATAAGATCTTTGGTCGTTATGAAAATTAATTTAAGGCGTATTTCATTATTTTAAAAGATCTCTGTGAAAATCCATCCGACATGTGTTTCACAATTTTCGCAAAATCCCCCGATCGGCCTTAAGCTCGTTTTGAAAGCCCTAGTGAAATTCTCCGCAGAGAGAAGTCTTAAGTTTCGTCTGATCGGCCTTAAACTTTTTTTCAAAGCTTTAAATAAAAACTTTGGAGGAAAACTCATTATCAAAGACCTTTGTGAAAATTTATTTGATATAGTGTTTCGTTAATTCCATCGCTCTAAGAGGGAAATTGTCTATTCGTCTTTTAAGCTTATTTTGCAATATTTTTCAGATACAACTTAAGTTGAGTTTGATATGGAATGGCTAGATTGAGTACAGGTAAAAAATGGTTGTAAAAGTTACAACTAAAATATTAAGCAGAAAACTAGCCACGGGCAAGATGGGGAGGGCCCTCAAGTTATTTATAAAATTATAAGCAAACCAACGGGTACCCACGCTATGGCTGGCACCTATGGCAAACAGGCCGCAAGACTGCCACCCACTTGCCCTTACAAACAATTGCTTCCCAAATAGAATCTGGAATTATAAAAAGCGATGAGAGCGACGACATGATTTCAGTCTCCTCGGAAGTGAAATAAGTAACTTACCGATTACAAAAAAAAGTAAGAGGTTCTAGTCGGGAGTTCCCGACTTGGGGATAGCGTAAAGCAGCTTGTGCTACGAGCTCATTTGCTTAAGGAGTAATATAAAAAAAATATAAAAAAAAATATTTAGTTTCCATAATAGTAGTCGAACTCGTACCACTAGATAATTTGTTGTCCGAACCATCATAACTATCGCTTTCACTGGGACTTGCTTAAGACAATTTCAATAATGTTAAGGCTGTAATTGGTGGATAGTTACAATTGGCTTTAATTTATTTTATAGCTTTGTTGTGTAGGTGGAGGGTGGCGGTATTTTTAATATGAAAGCAACATGTCAAATTTGTTGGATCTAGCTCTTATAAATTACGAGATTTGCTTAAAAATCAGTTTAGGTGCAGGAGCAGGTTATCGATTATCGTAAACAGGCGGACCTACATTCCAAATTTCGAGTGTCTGGCTCTTATAGGTTTTGAGATTCTTGCGTTCATACATACGGACAGACGCACATGGCATGATCGACTCGGCTATAGATGCTGATCAAGAATATATATACTTTATGGATTCGGAGATGCTTCTTTCTGCCTGTTACATACATTTGCACAAATACATTATACCCATTTTACTCATTTTTAATGGGTACAGCCCTATCATTGTTGTACTATTGTTGTGTGGGTGTTCTATTAATCGCTAACCTATCATATTTCAGGTATTGACTCTCACAGGGCCAGATGCTCATGTCGAATTTGGGCCACATTTAGAATTGCTCAAGTGGTTCTAGCATATGGGTGCATTTCAAGCGGTTTAAGAGGTGGGGTTGCTAATGTGATAGCTCGGTCACATTAGGACCTTTTGGTTGCCCATTAGAGCTGATCGTCGCCAAGTCCTCGACTTCATGCAATATCTGTGCATATTTACCGTATACCGAAATAATTTGTGTAATATTGCTTCGTGCTTCAGAACATTTTCTTTCCAGAACTGTAGCGCGATCGACTAAATTTTTTTTAAATGTCCACAAGTAAATCGCAAGGTCATAGAAAGTCGCATTCAGTGATATAGCAGTTGACTTGAGCTAACACAAAAGTCCAGTTAAAATTTCTTCGCAGACCAAGGGACAAGGAAATGCGTTTTTCCCTATACGTATGTTAAGTCGGCTTACGGCATTTGCGCGCGTCGTTGACACATTTCTTGTGGTACCAACACCAGGAGTCGATCGGATATGGTACATTTGGTTTACATCGTCCAGCTGACGTTGAACGCGCTATTTTTCCTTTGGCAAAGGCTGTTTATCCGCTGACCTTATATCTCAGGTATTAAAAGTAAGTGTCTCTTAATTTAACCAATAGTTTCACGTTTAGTATACACATTGATTAAAATTAAATAAATAGAATTTAATATTTTACTTTTTTATACTGCCAAACGCCAAAAATAATAATAAATAATAAATAAATAAGAACAATTTCCAATTGAAAGTCACAATATTAAAATTGTTATTGTCTTATATATATTTCTTGACGATCGGTTATATACACAGCGAACCACGTTAATGTTAGCCAAGCGCAAGAATTTCGTTCTACTTGTGCTAAATAGTTAAGTTTCCCGTGGAACGTAACGCCATGAGGCGATGGCAATCATTATGCTCGTCTAATGAGGAGGCGAGTCCTAACGCAGCGGAGAGGTTTAAAGGTTTTATAATATTTTCAAGTTACTTTATACTTTGCACTTTTCTGTAATTCGCCTTTTATTCAACAACCAAAATAATTTAACGTGTTTTTTAAGTGAACATTTTTATTATATATACATGTAAAAGTTTACTTAAGCTGTTAAAAATCATAGAAACACATTTTCTTATGGGTAAATAAAAAGGTTTTCGTTATAAACAGTTTGTTTTTAAAAATAATTGTATGTATGTGGATAAACATGAACTGATTTAAATTGTCAATAAATTTTGATTTCTTATAATTTTTTGTATGTTTTTGTATGATTGATTGGCGCTTTTCTGAGCAACAAGTGGTCATAAGGAATGAAATAAAGCAAGACATATGTATTATAAAAATTTGTATATTTTTTACTTCGACTATATAATATTAGATTTTAAAAATAATAGTAAATAAAACACCACAGTCATGATTTTTTTAAGTGAACAAAAACATTTGTATATAGGGACATTTTTGGAAAATTGCAAATGTTCGTAGAGTTTAAGCAAAATATTTACAAAAGAGAAGCCATAGTAAAAGTAAGAGAAAAATATAAAGCAAGAAAGTTTTGCATTTGTCGATTTTTTTGATTTTATCGTGTTTTTATATGTCTGGGTATTTTCTTCGTTTTTTATTCGTACAAAAAAAAAAAAAATAAATAAAAAGTGTTTTTTTTTTTCGCTTTTTTGTATTGCAAATTTTGATGTAAATTTTTATCTACCTGCGCTAGTTAGAGTTTTTAGTTGAGTATATATTCATAAAGATTAGAAATTTTGCTAAAAAGTGGATTTTTTCAATTGTCAAAAAAAAACACAACATTATAAAGTGTATGTGATGGTGGAAGAGTATCAAGTGTTTGTGCGCGTGTGTATGTGGGCGTGCAGTTGGCTGCGTTGACTCTGTACAATTGGGTTGACTTGACTAAAACGGGCACGTGAGGATGTGGCCAAGGGAGATTATATCAGCGCCGTTATCAATTTGGCCTTGAAGTTCACAAACTTTTCGCTCGTGGCGGCAACACGCTATGGGTATTGACAGAAAGTTGTAATAGCACACAAGTCAAACCATTAACCATTGAAAATTCTTACCAATATCAAGTCTTGTACCAGATTGGCCAGACCTCGATTGGCTAAGACAACGAGACGTGTCACTGGGCCGGGAATACCCTCGGTGTAACCATCTGCGGTACGAGTGCTGTCACTGCTAGCATCCGTGTCATCTGTGCTACTGCTGCTGGAGCCGCCGCCGACGCTATTGGCGGCCTCGTCGCCCTGCTGGGTCTGCACACTGCCAGAGAAAAGCTATGCGAATAGGCCAGGATAGTGAGCAGGCAGCGGCAAGGACTTAAGCTTATCTTGTACTCACGCGCACCACATCCAGCAAAAAGTTACCGGAACCGCCGCCGCCGCCGCCCAAACTGTTGCCACTAGGCGAAGCTCCCGAACTGCCGCCGCTTGAGCCGCCAGCCAGACCAGCTCCTCCGAAACTCAGGAACCTTTTAAATAAATTACTTATGTTTGTTCGAGTGCATTTTGAAAGGGTGGGGGAAACGTGAACAGAAGTGTGTAATTAGTTGAGTCTCTTGGGAATAATTTTAATGTGTATGGGTTAATGTGTTTGTGCAAAAATCCAATATTTCTGTAAATTTGGTAATTGTTTATGGCTTCTCTGCAAGTGTCCTTTTTCTTTATGTTTGTATTTATTGTTTTGTTTGACTAGAATCGGCCAACAACTTTGGCTATAAAGCGACAGCTTAATTATTTTTTTAAAACGAATAATACAAAGTACGAATGGGAATGGGAATTGAAATATTCGTTGCAAAGCTTTTTATATCCTTGCAAAAGATTTTATTATTGTATACCAAATAGTGGAAAACAAGGAAATATCTTCGCTTACACAAATGGCCATTTCGATGTAGCCATGTCGGACTGTCTGTCAAACAAAACCCAGTCTAAGGCAATCGTTATGTCACTTCATAGGTCTTTCCTTATGTCGCGCCGGACTACTGTGTCGCATAAATCCCATATGAAAATTTGGCCAAAACTTTGCCTTTTGGATGAATATATTTTTTCGGTTTCCAAACCAATTCTATAAACATGGTTATATGATAGTAATATAGCCCCAATAGAAACCATCTATGAGAGTAGAGCATTTGTATAAAAACAATTAATTACAATAATATTTGTACAGTTCTTTTTTAAATGAACTTTAAAAATCAAACGACATATTATGCGATTGTAGTATCGATAGTTAACATTAACAAGTACATTACAAAAAAAAAAAAAAGGGAACAGTAGCAGTTTTGAAGGACCTTAAAGAACGTTAAACACTTTAAGACTATCGCCATTAAACTTTCCATGTTGGACGCGTTTATTCATACGGACAAACGGGCAGGGCTTTGCCGACACGGCTGTTGATGCTGATTTGGACTGTACAATCTTTATGGACTCGAAAAAACCTCCTACCTACTGTAACACACATTTGCATAAAACCATTGTACATTTCATTTACGATTTTAAATGGGTTCAGGTTGTACACAATTCAATCGAAAAAAAATATAATTTTTATTTTATCGGCTTAATAACCTCTTTGTATACACGTGCTGTAAATTGTGTTTCGTTATTTAATGAACAGTAATAATTGTGATGTGATAAGTTGGCCAATTGTGTTTTGTGGCTCATGTTATAACTGAATTTGTTGTGGGGTTTGCCGCTTACCTCTTGTTGCGATCATCCAGATCGGCAGTATCTTCCACAGAGTCCAACGACAACTCATCTATGGCCGGGGATTTCGATTCTGATAGCTGCAAATCGTTAGTGCTCAGCGCTTTGACATCGGTGGATCCAATGTTGCTGCTGCTACTGCTGCTACCGGTATTAACCGTTGACAGTTCATTGTTAAAGCTCAGCTGAATGGGTTCGTTGGACTTGAGAGGAATGGGAGCCTGGGCCACAGGTGAGCTTAGCGATTGGGCTACTGCAGCGGCTGCTGCCTCTGCTTCTTTCACCTGGCGCGCAACTCTTATGGTTTCCTCAAGTTGTTTATTAATAGCCGATAGATCGATTTTCGTATCGGTTGCACCGTTCTGTGATCGGAATTGGTTTGCCCGTAGAATTTGTCGCAGAATCGTTGCAACGGATTTCATTTGTATGGGCATTTGTAGCATTGTAAAGAATTTCGAATTTGGAGTTGATTATGTGCATTTGGTATGTGTGATTCATTTGGATTCAGTGTATGCGTGTTGCGAGTTGCGGTTTGCGGTGGATTGATTGGTTTGCGTAACACAGGATTTGGCGCAATGTAGCGTACGCGTAGTGTTAAGTTTATGCATTGGTATTTGTTTGTGTGTAATATGTGTATGTGGTGGGTTTGAAGTAACATGAATACAGAGTTCGGTGTTGTGTGTAGGCAAAGTGACATCGGTCATTGGTCAATGTGTGTGTGTGTGTTAATTTTTCGATTACATAATGTTAGGCAGGAGATTATTGTTATTTAAGGGATTGTTCCAAATTTTGTTTGGCATTATGGGTTACGGGTTTGGCCAGTTTCGTATACGATTTTATCATTCAAATATTTGATTGATTAATTGGTGATGAAGAAATGCACGTGCACAAATGCAATTGGTGTATTTTTGTATACATTTTACAATATTTTCGATTTATAACGTAATTATATTGATTATTATATTTGATATTGCAGTTGATGATATCATTGCGAAAGAGATTTTCGATTTTGATATACAGATTTTATATCATTTTTTTCAGTTTTGTTGTTTTAGGTTTATATTATTGTTTTTAGTTATTTGCACAAATCGAATCGGTTTAATGGAACATGAAAATAAAGAAAAAAAGATTCAAAATAAACAAAAAAGAAATCAAAGGCAGATAGATAAATGAGCAATCAATACAGGAATATTAACGCCACAGAAAGCACAAACGAAAGAGCGCAAGTGTTGTTGCAGAATACCAATAAATTCTAAGCTTAGACCCTGGATATCAGAGCAGCGACAGAGTGAAAATGTTAGAGAGAGCTTTCAAATATTGTGCTGAAAAAGTTGGTTTTCCAATAACACAGAACATCTCTATGCGAAACTAAAAGAACCTTTCTAAAACTGTGTAAAAGATTTTACAGCTAATAGACAATTTATCAGATGGTATAGAATATAGTTAGTTACAAACTAAAAACCTAACTTGATTTTAATGACATTAGTTAGCTCTACGTTAATTAATTAATAAAAAACGCACCACCCTCGTATCGAAAAACAACATTTATACATTATGGTAAAAAACAAGAATAGATTTAACTGTCTACAAGAAGTTGGAAATTGGAATTTTTAGTCAAACTAGAGATATAGGAGATGAAATTTGTATATTGTACAAACACGTCTAAAACTTTCAAAAAAAACTATTTTGTAAAATTAAGATTATTTATCTTAGTTGTAAAAAAGCTCTTTATCGAACAAAGCAAATTTCTCTGACCTCAAAGGAATTATTTAACGCATGCAGTAGAAATTGGGAGCACGAAAAGTAATTGCCTGCGACAGAATTCGAGTTGAGAATGCGTGTTTTAATGATACCGAAAATGCGAACGAATGAAATCCATTGTGAATACCCTGTGGAACAGTTGAATAATCGAATACTAAATACTATCATGATTGCACTCATAAACGCAATGTATGCTCATGCGAATGTTGTGAATACGGTCGTGAAATACGTGAACGCACCCATGAATTATGAATGTTGATAGTGCACTCACTCATTGGGCTTGAGCGAGGACGAAATATAATTTTTGACTACACTCTTAAACACTAAATTTGAGCTCAGCAAAGTCAAACAATTAACAGTAATTTTGTATTTTTAAAAATATAGAAAATACACACAACGACTTTTACAATTAATACAAGTTAAATGTTAATATAAAAATCACCTATTATTTTAAGGAAAGGAACGTAAAAATACATAAACAAATTTTTTCAGGAGAGACATAGATAGATACGTATACAAAGAGACATAGAGTGAGAGAGAGAGAGAGAGAGAGAGAGAGAGATAGAGACGGAGAGGAAGAGATAGTAATAGAAAATGAAAATGGAAACATTCACACTGTTAAGGGATAGTTCGAGAGATAGCGACAGAGAATATTTTGAATTCAGTAAATACGCCTTTAGAACAATACAGAATTGCATAAAAGTGCCAGTATTAATAACATCTTATATAATTTTGTTTATGGTATATTTTCTATTTTGCCGGATGTCAAGTAACTGTGAATGGCGCGGTTAATATTTTTGTGTTTGGTTGTTGTTGTAGTATTGCCAATTTTCGTAGCTGTTTTGAAAACACGGAACAAAATTTAATATAGATTAAAAGTTGTGCCAATTTATATGGTAATTTTGAATGCATCGCTTAGTTGTTGTAGCAAATTACACGCACATTTTACTTTCGACGAGTGGCGCCCTCTGTGGTGGCGTCACTGTTGGATGCGGTGGTCGTGATGCTGCTGCTCTTCTCATTTGCATCAACCTCGTTTTCATTGTCGGGCTCAAAGGTGGGCAGTTCAATTGTGACTCGTGTGCCACTTCCGCTGCTGCCAGCGGTGGTGTCGCTCTTGGTCTCCTCATCATCATCATCATCAAAGTCTGCATCGAAGGTTTCGCGTGCCGCATTCGCGCTATTGCCCTGGATGGCGGTGCGTAGAACAGTTGGGCCTAAGGTTCGCAGCAGCTTGGAGATGATGCGGTTCGCTTGCTCATCGATTTGCTACAACAACCAGGTTTCAATTTAAAGTGCGGTTTGCGTTGGATTGTTGTGGATTGCGGTGCGTGTGCATTGGGTACAGTTTAGAGAATGGTTAGTTTATTTAATTCTTTTATCGTATTGTAATTAGAATTTTGGGCGGATTAATATTGCGGACTGGGCTCATTATGGGTACTGACTTAGGACTACACATACATATTGAATTTGGCAAATGAGCAAAAAAACTTTGGGGCTATTATAAATGTTAATGATAAGTTAATTCACAACTAATTGCTTTCACCAATAGCTTAAGTTATTAAAGGAAAATAATGTTTTTTGTATTGCGATTCTGACTAAACTATCTTTAAAACCGATCCCTGAAACAACATTGTCTGCCTAAATATTATAAATGTATTTATCGTTAATGAAACAGGAAATGTTAGCTGAATGGAGCCTGAAGCACTGTTGTATTTGTTGTGGTTGCTGCTTGCAGTTCTTGATGTTTTTTCTTGATGTTCTTGTAATGCACTAGCGCAAATTTGCTTAGTGCTCTATATCTGTCTCATTTGCTTTTAATCATAGACGGGCAATAGTTTCGTAATGTTGTGGTTGTCAATTGTTGTCGCCACTGTTGTTGTTGTTGGCGGTGCAAGAGATGTTGTTGAAGATGTGGTTGTTGTTGTTGTTGTTGTTGTTGTTAAATTATCTCTGGTTGTAATAAAATAATTGGTAGAGTTTAATAATCGATTTATATCGGCTATAATTGTAAGTAATTGTGGTTCTTCGATGATATTGTTGTTGTCTTTGTTTTGAGGATACTGGGTGGAGGTAGTGAATGTTGAGGTAGGTGCTAATTGGGAATTATCAGTGGTTGTTGTTACACTCGTCACTTCTCTTGTTGTTGCTAGCATTTCAGTTGCAACAGTTGCAGTTGTTGCTGCTGTTGCGCTTGTTGGCTCAGTGCCCAGAAAGCGTGACAACAGCTCGAAGGGCACATCTGTCCCTATTGTTAATGTTTTGGTGGCGATTGTTGTTGGGCTTGGGCTGGGACTAGGACTGGTGGTGGTACTTGTTGATATTGAGGATAATGTTGATGCAGTTACATTGGCTTGGCTCTTACGCGCACTCACTTTGTTCGCTGATGTCTCTGCATCTGGGGCAAGTGTAGGCAAATCTATTTTGACCCGCGAGCCGTTGTCATCGCTGTTTAAAGCCCCATCAGAGGCTGGCGTTGGTGCTGCAGAAGCAGGCGATACATCATCATCATCATCATCATCGGCAAAGCCGTCGTCATCAAAATCGGCATCAAAGCTGGTGGAGGGTGTCGTGCTGCCCCTCGCACCGCCACTGCCGCGATTTCCCGCTAGAACGCTATTTAGCAGACCTGGCCCGGCTACGCGTATTACTTGAGCTATAATGCGATTAACAATCGAGTCGATTTCCTAAGAACGAGAGAGAGGTATGCAAAAAACTGTGACAGGCTTGCTTCCATTAATCCATCATGACTTGATATGATGAATTTTGTTGTTATTGTTGTTGTTGTTGTTGTTGTTGGTTTTCTGTTTTTTGCGTCCATGATTTGCTGCGATGTTGAGATGATATAGTTTTTTGTTTTGATGTTTATTTTTATTTTGACTTGGTGCTGTTTTTTGGTGCTTGCTGCGGTACTTCTGTTGTAGTGGATTGTCTGGGGCGCTTTAAAAATTTGTGTACTGCAACATTGTGATTGGCCAATTGTTTGATGTGTGTGTAGTTGAATTCAATGTGCTTTAAATAACTAATTGGTTTGGCTTTGGATTTGTTTTGGTTTCGTGTATTATTTAAATAAGACGAGCTTTTGCAGGTGGCATGCATAGGTAGGTGGGCGGTATCATGGTGGTTTTTAGGGAATTGAATACGTGCATAATCTACTGGCAAGTGGAGTGGCATAGGTCTAGTTTAAGATACGAGTATATTGAGGCATGCAGCTTGATTGGGTAAATGAGATAATCAACTAATTGACGGAATTTTAAATAAATGCCAATATGCTAGCGCTTCATATTCTACGGGCTATTTTAGTTGTCCTTCTGATTGCTGTCAAAGTCTTCTTCGGGCTTAAAGTTGGTAAGCTCCTCGGGTAGGCTTTCATAATCAGTATCAATCGGTAGAACTGTATCATTATCAGCACTAGTTTTGCGGGCAGCACCTCTCGCAAAGGCGGGGTTTAGAACTGTGCCCAAGACGACAGGCCCAACGCGTTGCAGTATATTATTGGCTAGACGATTGATTTGCATATTGATTTCCTAGGAAATGTTCAGGCAATACAACAATTAACAAAAACAGAGCTGTATGCCGCTCCGAACAGCTAAATGGGTTCATTGGGTGTATCTATGTTAATATATAAATCAATATGGACGTTTCGCACCTAACCTGACTGATATACTGCTTCTGGGGCTCCTCTATTCTAGGTATTTTCGATTTTTATACGCACCTTTGTTATGTCGGGGAATAGTTCGCGCAGCAGTCCAATAGTTCTTTTGTTGCGATCGGCTATCAATTGATCTTGATCTTTTGCGCCAAGTGTCAAGACATCGATTTCCTGAAATGAACGAAATGAACAAATCTCAAATATTATACATTACATAATTCAAGTGGCACTGAAATACAAATTTAAATCGCGGCTCAAAACTGACCGCAATGAGTAAGCAAATCCCAAAGATAACTACCCACCAGCAACTCAACAAATGACGAACTTTCACTTTGCACAATGAGGCAATGAGTTGGTGATCTCGTCTTTGTGTACCTGCCATTTGTAATCACGCTTCAAGTGCGCATACACTTCTGACCGAAATCATGTACACTACCATCCATAACTTGCCTCACAGCTGATATATCTCTAACTGCAAGCAGCTATGCAAATCTATTTATATTTTAGTTGTGCTATTTATTTTATCTATTTACTTAATTTAATGTCGAGCTTTTCGTAAGCAGTATGGAAGTATAAATGTTATTTTTTTTGTTACAAGCTTATTGCACTTATCAACAATTTAGATGTCCCAAATTGGGTAATATTCGAAATACCAAGCTAAAATTCTGGTTATAGAGCTGTGCCCTTACCCTGCACCCATTAAGAATATGTGAAGCTGGGTATCATAAAGTTGCGTAAATGTGCGCACGCATTTCAAAAACTTTCTCCGTCTGAATTATCGCATCGGTCGGAGATACTATATGAACTGTATTCCCCAAATTTGCCAGAGAAGTTTGTGTTGTGAATATAAAATGCATTTAAAATAATTTATAGCTTCTTTCGTTCATCCTTGAGCATATTTCGTTAACTAAAAGAGTTCGAGACGTGTATCATGCATTTATCAATAATAGCTTGAAAGCTTGGAAACTTCTGATAGTTTTAAAGCTAGTTATCGCTAAAGTGGGGAAGGCTCGCATTCAGCTGATTCCATTTTGCTGGTGGGCTTTGAATTCTCCTTAAGTCGCCGACTAGGACTTCCCTTTTTGTTTGCCTGATGAACTCGGCCTTAATCTCTTACTCACTCAGCTCTATTTATGCTCCCTCAATAGACTGAAGTCATTTTGGACAACAAAAGGTGTTTAAAACTTGCACAGCTTCCGCAAAAAGTTAGACACAGAGAGTTAGAGAGACAGACAGATAGATAGAGAGAGAGAGAAAGAGAGAGAGAGAGAGAGAAAAAGAAAGACACAGGTATAAAGACAGAGAGGGATACTGGTTAAATGACTATACAACAAGTTGTAAAAGGTCATCTTAACTGTGATTTAGCTAAGTCTAGGAAAATATTGGATAAAAACATTTTTAGTGAAGGCATTTGAAATGACCATTGGACAGTCACTGCAAGCAACGATAATTGCACTTACCTAATATTACAATAGTTCATGCATTTGCAATCATCAAAAATCTAATATGCATTCGCCACTCTTGGAGCTAGAGACTTTAAACTTGGAATTTACATTCGGGTAAATTGGAAAACTTCGTCCCACAAAAATGATTATATCGATATTTTCCTAAACCCAAGCCTGGACAGTTACTGTGATAACAGCTCAAAAGTCACAAATCGAAAAATCAAAATTAGACTTTTGGTTGCTATTTTGCAAATTATTGATTTCTTGCGAAGCTTTTTCGCAAGTAAGTGCATTACATAGAAGTGCACGACCAGGAGACACCCTGCACCCGGCTCGTGGTTCAAAACCTTTGCAAACTCTACAAACAATCTAACTTTCTTCAATACTTTCTTACCCATATCATATTCGTACACACACACACTTACTAAACTCAAAGCCAAGTCACAAATTTAATACTTATCGATATTTTGATCTGGACGATGGGCTGAGTCGATCTAGCCATGCCCGTCTGTATGGACACGTCGATCTCGGACCCTACAAAAGTTAGACTTGTCGCAAGTCTTATGATTTATTTTTATTTCCATAAAATTAGTTGCTATTGATTTTTAGACAAATTCCGCAGATTTTCTGAGCTAAATACTCCAAGCTTTGTGTGTGGGTTCTCGTATTGTATAACATATACATCTCTGTTTATACCACATTTCCCTAAAATTGGAAAAACTAATTTCAAATACCGAAGGGCTTGTAGTTTATTGAATGGACACGTTTGAATGCCATGTTTCATGAATGCATTTCCCATGTAGAAGAAAGCTAGAATATTGGCGCTTGGCGCTGGGCTTAGGGTATCTCCTAGTCTGGCATATTAGAATTAGTAGACGCCATCGCTGTTGTTATTATTGCCGGGATAGTTGTTTTTGTTATGTGTGCTTATTTGTCTCAAAAGTCAGTGCGGAAGTCGCTGCATAGACGGGCGGAAGGTAATGCCAACGGCAACAACCACAGCAACGGCTATAAAGAAAGACTAACTTTTCTTAGTTTGGACAGCAAACTGTTTTGCCATTGTCAGCTCCAATCCGCCATCCACGCTCTATAGTGCATCGTCACCTCTCACTCTTAATGATCCATCAAATTTAAGCAGTTTGCCAACTAAGTGCGACAATTGTTAAGTTTTAACGAGGGAAGGAATAACTCTCGGCCCAAAGTTGTTTAATGAATTTCAAATTGGCTGAATTCACTCGCGTACAATTAAAACTTAGTAGTATATTCCAGGCAATCTTATTAAAGATAACACTGTGCATTTTAACTAGCCTATGCATTAATGCGTTGGGTAGTCTCATTGTGATTATGTACGTATACTGTATACTTATTAAGACGGTGTGCACGACGCTTGGGGAAGACAAAATATTTAATTTTTTTGGAATTGGTTTGCTGGTTAGCATTTAACTAGTTTGTTGACTGCTTTGCAATGTGTAAACTAAGGCCGTTGAATGTTTAAGGACCAATGTTAAGAGCTACGCTAACATCTCAAAGGCGATGACCGTTTGGAAGCTTACAATTTCTTTTGTAATGGATTACCAATAAACAGATTTGGAAATCCCGCTAAATCTATTCGCAATAAATGGCGAAAAACTATTAAAGGGAACATCTTTGTGAAAATTCAAATTTTACGACTCACAATATACAACCGTTTTCCATCTTGAATTTTACGAATAGTGTACATGCCGTTTTACACTAATTTTCGAAAAGTGAAAACTGAAACTGAATTTGAACTTAAAGCTTCACCAACCAAACTTTTGATCCCGTTTTCACCAAGAAGAAATTTTTTTTGAAACAGCTCTCAGATTAATTTTAAGAAAAAGCTTTGTGCATGAGATGAGGCCGTTGGGAGAGGGAAGGCATTCCTTAAAAACCCGTCTTAGCGTCCACCTCCATTGCACAAAGTTAGAACTTCAGCTTTCCAGCTCTTTTGGTTTGGGCTTTTAATTGGTCACAAATCAGGCAATCGGTCAGTCAGTGGGGACAAACACGTTTATGTATAGAGTTACGAAGCATAAATACAACAAAAACGCAGAAAATAAGCAAAGTGGCTCACAATAGCAGTCCACAAACCTCACACAACAACAACAACACGAAATATGTATTAACAAAAATATGTAAGACTTGAAAAAAACGTAAACGAAATATTCGATCTATCGTAAACGCTGTAGTCGATCAGTATAATATTTTCGTATTTGACATAACGCTTTGAATTCTTGAAATCATTAAATATAGCATAATATGAATATCAAAAGCGCGGCCAACTGCGCAACTTGTTGAATAACTTCAATGTTTTCGGTCTGATCTTAATAAAATTAGTAAGGCATAAATATGACATGGAAATGTGTGTAGCTTTGAAAAAATATATATATATATTTTTTTTTAAATGTTAGGGGAAGTGAACTATTTAGTTCAAATTTCAAGTTGAAATGCTAATAGAATCGCTCTGACAGATGAACATTGTTTAAATTACATATCATATACGTGATAATGCGATCACATCTTTCTGCCTTGTACATACACTTAAACCGTTAACACTTTAGGCAATTCTTTGCAAAAATTGTAAGGTAAACCTGGCCTATTTTTATGGGTATATGGTTTGAACAATTACATGCATCAGGCAGAAGGATGAATCTGGAACCACAAAAGGTAGTATATAGTTAGTATATAGGGTCGGTCAGCATTAAGATAGTTCGTGTATGAGTATGAGTGCGTAGATCTAGAATTTCTAGTTTGCTTTTAATAAAGCAAATAAGTCGAAAAACTTGTTGTATAAAACTTGGGGTTTCGGTAAAAAGTTATGGCCTTGGTAGATAAAGGATCAGGGCATCTTCATGTCTGGTATTCCCTATTAGAGCACTGTAACTAGCCTTTCTTTCTGGATGTACAAAAAAACGAATTTTCGATTGGTGTTTGTTTAGGTTTTACAAATTAATTATGATTTGCAAAACTTAAATATTACCAAAAATAAATGAAAACAAACAACAATAAACTTTGATATTATTAGTGCAGCTTGAAAATGGGGGTCAGGGTTGAAATCCCAGCATCAATATGTGTTGAAATGGTCGTAGTAATGTGCAGCGATAGAGACAATCAATTTATTTTATCTTTGGCACTCTGGCGATATTAAATCTTATCTAATGGGCACTAAGCGCATTAACATAAATTCCAATATATACATTAATCTGTGTCTGCTTCGATAAGTGGTTTGACCTTAACCAACTTAATATGTTAACATATGCAAATGCAAGAGAGTCACAAAATATAAAACAAAAACAAGAAAGAACGAGTATTTTCAACACGCCGAATATACAATATCCTAGTAGACATTTGGCTCTCCGTTTTGCTCATATGTAAGGAGATTTCTCTCATGTGTGTGTTTATAAAAGTGATATAGTGGTCCGATCTGGAAGGTTCCTACATATGCACTGCCTGTAGTAGAGAGGCGGACCAATTCAAATTTTTTCGGGATAATCGACAACATTGTAAAAAAACAGACAGACGGAGGGATGGAAATGGATAAATCGTCACGAATATTTATACTCTTTCGGGTTGGAGAAGTCTTTCTCTACAAGAATATAAAAGAAAAGATTTTTTTCGGAACCCCAAAAACTTTATAGCTATATAGATAGCATATTATATAAACGCTTGACATCCGACCAATTATCCACAATAACAGAAAAGTTTTCTGTACAACTTATTTTTCTTTTAATCTAGTGATAATATAGTGGTCCGATTTCGATAAGGAATACGATAAGGATATGTAAGCTGCATGGTTGCTGGTATTTAAGATTTCTGAAAAACATTATTGACCCTTTATATATACATGATAATAAAATCGATATTAATCAATAATTTAATCGGATAGAAAACAAAAAGCAATTCTTCACAAATGTGAAAATTTATTTGCCACATCTAAATTATTCATTAATATAGATTTTAAAAGATGGTTTTTCAACCATAACTTGAAATTTGTATATTTAGAAGAACATCAAACAATATATCCAGACTGTCGTATAGTATACACAATTCCAAAATATTTTTGGCGGCATAGTCTTAGGTTTTGGTATGTATATACATTTGGATGCAAATAAAAAGGGTATAATGTTTGTGCAAATGTATGTAACAGGCAGAAGGAACCATCTCCGACCCCATAAACTATATATATTCGTGATCAGCATCAATACCCTAGTCAATCTAACCATGTTCATCTGTCTGTCTGTCCGTCCGTCCGTCTGTCCGTCTGTCCGAACGCAAGGATATCAGAACCTATAAGAGCTATAGACTTTAGCAGTAGATCGAGTTTGTTTCCGATAATCGATAACTTACTCCGTTCCCAAGCAATCGATAAAAATCGATATAGACATCCTGTTTATTGAGCAAATTGGGTAAATAAGAAAAGCTAGAGTCACTAAACTTGATATATTGCTTCTAGAATATTATGTATATGTCAAGTATATTTCATTTTATACGTATCGCCACCTCCCCGCTACCACCCTAGAGCTGTAAATCAAGTTAATAACCTAACCTGTATTGCACACCAATTTAAGCCACAATTTAAATGCAATTGACTTTTTGTCAATAATACAATAATAATATACTGTAGAAAATTTCATTAATATCGGTTAAGAAAAAACCAAAGTTATGTTACACTGCGCAATTGGATGGGTCGCAAATTCCAAGCATTTCTGTATACATGTACACACATTCATGCGCGTCTGCATCGAATTCTATCAACAGCATTTCAATTGCGATTGCTTGCTGTGCTGCTATTTTACTTCGTTTTTTTTCAATAATACTTAATTATTGGTGTGGCTGTTGAGTAAAGGCATAGCAAGTGGTGCTGTCTGTTGCGAGTTCTGCTGTTGAGTAGAGTCAGCAGCAAGTGCATTACTTGTCAGTTACGAGTTCGAACCCTGCCAAGGGAACTTTTTTTTTAATTTATCTTTATTACTCTAAACGAGCGCGTAGCGCGAGCTGCATTTGGTGCTGGAATAAGAGGGTTCAAGGTATTCCCTGGGAGTCGGGAGCTCCCGACTAGAAACTCTTACTTGTTTTTTTTTTTTTTTTGCATCATAATGATCGGATAATAAAAACACCAATGTGGTCAAGAATAAATTTCTAATATTGGAACGTAATCTGAGTGTAAAGCGGTGTACATGCTTGTGTAGATGTAATCTAGAATAACTTGAATGACAGTTCGGCATTGGCTCCAAGGTATCTTCTAGTCGGGCACACATACTGGAGCAGTCTTGTTTTCATTTTTTGTACTCTCGAAAACTACAACTGCAAGTAGTTTTGACTTAATGACTGACTAGCAAGCGCGTCTCGTTTGCCACTTGGAAATGCAGCTACCAACAAATTGTCTGCCATAACAATAGCAGCATCAGCAACAATAGTAATAGTTGCGTGCTAGTTGCTGCTACTGCGTACTGCCGACATGTTACAACGGTAACAACAAATTGCAATTGCCGTTGCCACCGCCGTGCACAACGAGTATTGTGTGATGTGTATTTGTTTGTGAGCTAGTAACTGAGAGATTATATAAGGCAGCTGTAGCAACCATGAGCAGTTGCTGAGAAACTAGACGCGTCTGTGTCGGCTGGGGGCAATCCCACATAGGAAATTGTGTGATTGTCTGGTCTCGACTTGCTGCAGCAGCTGCTGCTGCGGGTTCTGCTGTTGCCGTTTAAAAGCCACAGCGCTTCAATTTCCGTTGTAGCTGTTGTTGTAATATCATTTAATAGTCGGAGAAATTAAAAGAAGGTAAAAGAAGTAAGCGTGATCCAGCCAGCAGAGCCCGACTAGCAGATAACCTGCTGGGTGCGGGGTTAAGTATCATCAATTAAAAAGTTTATAGATAAACTACACACACATACATGTATATGTGTTCGATAACTGCGAGCATCATTCACACACATTATATGAGCTGCAGCCCTAAGTACATATGAATATATCTTTGGTGCTTATAGCCCGATCCTTAATAAAATTTCAGGGCCCAAATATGGCACCACCTTTGACGATTGAAAATGGATTAAAAGGGTAAAATGGTTTTATACGAATGTATGTGAAAGGCAGAAGAAAGCATCTCCGACCTCATAGAGGTCATATATTCTGTTCGTTTCGAAAAACATCGATATCGAAATCCTTTAATTTTTGTCAGAAGGGAGGGGGGTATTTTAAAAGTGATATATACATAATCTTTGTATCTTATAAGTACAAGAAGCAACAATTTACTTATCTAGCTCTTATAAGCTCCGATAATGGTCAGTCTGTCCGTCTTGATAAATGCGTAGATTTGAGAAACTATAAGGGCTAGAGACTTGAAATAGTACATATTGAGCAAAAAAGAAGTAAGCAGATGCGCTTCTGTGTGTGTGTGTATGAGCCTGTGTACATATCACATAGTCACACGGCAAACTTAAATATAATTTGAAAAAAATAATTACAATTGAAAAATATAGTTTGGGTGAGCTCACCTTCTGCGTCGTGACCACATTCGCTTCTGCACAAAGTATAAAGAATATTGCTGCGGAGTTAGAGCTTTGATTTGATTGTTTTTGATTGCTCTGACAGAGGTTGGCATATTTTGATGATTGCTTTGGTAATTTTGGGTAACAAATCAGCACATAACAAGCAACTATATTGTGGCCCAGGTGTTAATTACTACGCTTACTATGAAACAGAGTGCAGTTGGCTTTGATAGATGCAAAAATATCCGCTGGCAGTTAATTTGTGTGATTTCGTTATTCAACTTTTTGAAGCGAATTTGAGGTGCAATTAAATTGTTTAACTTATATGGAAACAACATTAATCTATTAAAAGACTCGTAATTCTTTATGTTTTTGGGAGTTATTAAATAATAAAGAGATTGCACATGGATATAGGCATATAGGCAGACACGTAGCTAGCCGCATGGAATTAAATTCGTTTCAAGAGGGGCTTGAGTGGATTGGGCCAATACTTAAGCCAGGCCAACATGCCTGGTCTAGAGTGTGCCATGGAAACTGGTGACTAGTGTGCCAACTTCCTTGCAATTGGTGTTGTCCACTGCGCCAAACTGGTCACACAGGTTTTCGACTTTATCGGCTTACAGACCCCAAGACCTGAATTTTCTACAGTTCCAGCTGTTACCGAAAAAGTAAAAGGAAAATTTGCTGCCAGCTTGACAAACTCGTTGGACAAGCAACTCCCTAAATTACTCGCCTTCTCATCCGAGTGGAGATCTGCCAAAAAAGTTTACAAAACAGTAGCACAAGCTTTTGTAGTGAGCAATTCGGTATGTTCAACGTTTGCACAATGCAACAGCATGCACGTGCATATAAATTAACAAGATCCTTGCGGACAATCAAATGCCCTTGCCCTACGTCTAGAACCAAAGTGCGAGGTGGAATCGGGAAATTTTCCAATTTCAGTAACATTCATTTATAATAATTATTGTACATTTGTGTACAAATACAAAAATATACATGTAAACAGACACGTTGCTGACTTTTGTTAAACTGTGTTTTTTCCATATTTTATACTTCCCTAATATCGATAAATATCGATTAAGAAACGGCCTTTTGGGCAAATCTCGGGGAAAAAAAACTTATTATTGCAGACATATGCTTGGGCTTTGGAATTAGCACACATTTGGATGCCATCTTATGCCAGGTCATCGATCTGGATCTGGCTACAGTATATCTTCCACTTTTCAGTTTTCGGAGCCCATAAAGTATATATAGTTTTGGTCACTTACGTCTATTCTCCCTGTTATAGAGGTATTGGCATAAAACTTTGCATAATTCCTTCATTTTTCCGCAGGCAGTGCAGTGCTGCTCGGACACTTGCCTTAGAAACTAAGGGTCGAAACGTGTTGATTTTATCGATTTTGTTCTGGACTTACCTTTCCGTTAGTCAAAGGTATTTGAAGCACATCTAATTCCTGATTGCCTGCGGGATGTGGAAGAGGACTCGCGCTGATTAGGCAAAGGGTGCTGCAGAGGATCAGCGTCAGGATGTGCTGTGTGCTCGGCTGCCACATTTTGTTGTTAAGAGTGTAGTGCATTGGAGAACCTACAAGATAGAAATGCATACATGGGCACACTCATTAAATATTAAATAAGCTGGTGTTACGCGGCTTTGCCCGGCCCGAAATGTTTGTTTCTTATATTGTCTTTTTTTGAGAAAGTTAAACAAATTTAAATAAAACACTTTAATTAGTTTTATACAGATCGAATAAAAAATACAAAATGTTGCCGTCCGCACGCTTTCACAGGTTCACGCAATTTCACGCATTTACCGATTAAAAAAGGATGCAAAATATATAACTGTATACATTCTCGATCAGAACGTCAAGCGAAGTCAATCTAACGATTTTAATTTGCCCATCTGATATATTGGAAACTAAAAGAGCTAGAAAGTGGAGTTTTTCGAAATATGTAATATCGTTTATAATACCTAGAATGAGTTTACTTGTTTCGGCATCTCTCTAAACATCGACAAATTCTAATTTTGAAGCAAGCTTGTTTGTGCATATCTCAGTAAAATAAGAGCAATAAGCGCAAATTTACTTATTATGATTTTTTATTGGTATACAGAGATCCAGTAAATTTGACTTTTAGAGTGCCGGCCCTATTATTCAAATTTGAATACACATACTTTTAGAGGTATATTCTAGCGCTTATGTATGCGAGTATGTATTTAAGCCCTATACGTTTTGCACTAAAGTTATTCAATCTGCATATATATACTTATCATAGAAAGTACAAACGAACGGCCGAACGGTAGCTCGGTGTTGATTATAGAGTATACCCTAGTCGGACACTATCGAAACCCCCATTTGTTTCTTATAACTTCTAAGAGTAATATTAGTGTTTCAGTTTTTGCTTTGTATTTGGGGGTCGGGCCAAGGTTAGCAGATACAATCCGCCCATTTGGCACTGATTTTTGTAATTTTAATTGTGTATATAAAGTGGATATTTGAATTCGCCCGGCCCATGTTGTTTTGTAGCTCGATTAGGAATCTCTTTATCGTGTGTGTCAAGTTTGAATATTGAACCTTTCTTGGGCAACATGTCGTATGAGTAATGCGCATTATGTGTGGAAAGTGTGCACAACAACTAAAACAGCAATAGCAACAGAGAAACAACAACAACGGCTAAAGCAATTTATAAATCACAACAGCCAAAGCAACAACAACATACAAAACGCTGCAATAAGAATTATGTAATTTTATTTAGACAGCGCAGACGTCAGCAGAGGCATCGACGGCGACAGCGACAGCGACAGCGACGTCGACAGCGTTAAGCGAGTGTGCGTGTGTGTGTATGGATATTTTTGTGAGCGTGTAAGCTTTTAAGCTGAGTTTTAGGAAATTAGCTGGAAATCAACAAAATGGAAAAGCTTAAGTTTTAAATAGACGGTGGCGAAAGGGAAGTATACAGATTGAAACTGTGCGAAATGAGGCAAAACAACAGTGTCTATCCCGAAAACTGTAGCTTAAGTTTACGATGAAAATATACTTATATAAGCTATGAAGATTGCCCTTGCTAACTCATAATAATGGCTACAAATCTAAGCCAAAAAATGTATTATACTTAAAAAAGTACATTGAAATTGATTGAACAAAATACGATAGAAATAAATATACATTTGAAATATAAATAAAATAATGGACGCTAACTGCTGTCGGTCAGATAAAAAGAAGGTGACATTGAGATCAGGGTAGCTATTATAGCAATTAACTTGTTCGAAAAAAAATTGAGAAGCCATTGTGATAAAAAACAACTTGTATACACGTGTCTTTCAGCCAGCTAACGTTAACTCGTAGCTTAATACTTAAACAGGTCACTAAAAGCAACTATAAACCGAAGTTTTCCAGTAGCAATGTTCACTATGGCCTTCGACTAACATAATGTTACATCCGTACATTGGACCGGAATTCGAACCCGGATCCTCGTTGTTCAGTTGCCTGTATGACTGGGTCACTAAGACAACTCATCTATTGGGGACTGCTATATGCGATATACGATATACGATATACGATATACTATATACGAAGACACTTTTATTAGTTTATTATTAGCTGTGCATGGTAACATGCAATGACGGCCAACGGTCAGCGACTATTAAGTAAGGCGTAGCGCCAAAAACCCAAATGAAAACGAACAAAATGAAATAAAAAAGAGGTAAGAGACACACACAGAGACAGAGAGCTCGAGAGATAGAGAAGCCAACGCCGAAAAAACTGGGCGGTGTAGAAAGGGAGAGTGAAGGTTGTCATCACCAACTGGACAGTGTGAAGTGTTAACTGTGAGAGCTGTCAGAAACCGGCAATAACAGACAACGCAGCCCGGTTGACGTCTTGGGTTGTATAGTTATGTCATCTGGCAGTGGTGGCAGACTTGGATGTGCTTGCTTTTACTTTTCACCTTGTCTGTAGTAGTTACTTTTGGTAATTTCGAAACTATTCAAAATATAGATCTGGCATTTGGCCATTACTACTATATATAAATAAATATATGCAGCGTATTATTATGATTACTAAAGACCTATAAAATCAGATGGCATTGTGTAATAACTGTATGCGCATTAATTATAAAAGGCCAGCATAATATTTAATGATTGGTAAGCACTGAAAACACATCTTATAATGTTTTCCAGAAAAGAGTATCCAAAAAATGAAGATAGAGTGTTCTAGCCGTAAGTACCCTAACGAGAACCAACCTGTGCTCAGCTCAGAGCAACTGTAACTTTTGTTTTATCTCCACTTTACAAATATATAAGCAACACGAACGCGGTGAGCTGCGTAGTTTACGCAGCAGCAGTCTATAGGAAGCATTACTGAATAGATTTGCTGTTAACAATTCGATTCTAATCAAATCTTCTTTACTGTGTACGCGATAGAACCTGCAAACAACATTTCTAGTATTTTGCGCTTTCAATATCCCCGATTTGCTAAGATACTTGTAATCGATATTTATCGATTTAGCAAGCAAAAACAAATTTGGACTTCGTACGATATACGACGAACACTTATCAAAATTTAAAGTCTCAATTTAATAGTTTCCTAGATCCTTATACATACATTTGCTGAACACTAAGTATTATAACTGTTTTCACCCATTTTAAAGGCGTACAGTGTAAAAAAGAAATCAGAAAATGAAGTCTCAGTAGCGTTATGCCTGAAGGTGATTGTGCAATAGGGGAGTGGCTCAAATGACACGGAGCGCAAATGACGCTGCAAACTTTTGCCATAGTATGAATTTGGCGCGATCTGAGGTCTCGAATTAATGCTGAAGCCGCTGCTTCCTGTCATTGTCCACGTACACATCTAAAATTGTCATTTAGTGGATCTCTAGTACTAACTTATGCATAACGAGTTGCAATTAAAGCAGCAGCCTTGCTTAGATCAAGCAAATTGTATAATGATGCGATCGTGCCATGGCACGATCGTGGATTTCAAAAGAAAAAGCCCAGTATTAGAGATTAAATAATTTTATGTTGAACTATGCTCAGACAACCTTAATATGAATTAAATCCAGCTATTCAACTATTAAAGTTAACTTCTAATACTGGAAACATATAAATGAAATTACTTTGAAAAAATTTCAATCTTAGGCTAATCTTAAACACAGAGATTGTCCGATCGTAAATATCGGTCGCACGCTGTGTTCCTCAACGAGCGGATGCTGTGAAACTTTCTGATTCTCTTCTTAACATGCAATTGTTAAATTCTTGCTTTACATATTTATTGATCAGATTGAAAAGTGTGCCCGTATTGGCACTAATGGACATGACTAGATTGATTTAGGTGTCGTGCCTGTCTGTTACGCATATGCGTATTCCAAGGTCTAATTATACCATATGTCCACCTGTATGAGAACGAAGTATACCAAAAAAAAAAAAAAAACAAACATAACAAAAAAGAAACAAGTTCATACTTAAGCACAGAAAACAAAAACAGTTCAACACACGCGTTAATTTTGTTTCGATTTTCACCAAAAAATAGGCACAGCACAGAAAAAAAAGTGTAAACAAAAAAATTTAAAAATATTTTAATATAAAAAAAAACATTCAGTTTAATATTTCGTCATAAGTTTACAACGTTTCATTCGTTATTTTTGTTTGTTTTTCTTGTTGTGTTTTTGTTATTTAGCGTGTTTTGTTTTAGTTTTGTTTACATATATTGGGGTTGATTTGCAGTACGAAACTTGAGGAATTTGCGCTAGTTGCAACTTTTTTGTCGGCTTCTCAGCTGTTATTGTTGTAGTTGCACTTGCATTTGCATTAGCTGCAGTGTTTTTTGGTTTAACCTAACTCAAAAAACCGTAGTGGACTTTTCGACTATAAACAGTGTTATGTATTGTATATATGCCTAGGCTATATCCTCACGTTTGGTGCGACGGCGACGGGTATAAGCGACGGGTAAGACGACTACGTCGAAGCTTTGTTTTTGTTGTTTAAATAATATATTTTGGTTATGGTTTTATTTATACGTTTTAAAACTTTTTTGGCTATGTGGACCTTTCTGCAACTGGCGCTGGTTATGCGGTCTTGGCTGGTGGGCTTGCAATTGATTACTAACGTGATTTTATCATACACTAGCGACTAAAGCTCGAACAAAGCGGCGCACCGAACAAGTGACTGCGACGCCAGCAGCGAGCAGTAAGCACCACTAGACGCTAAGCGGCTGAGCAGCAGACGCTAGCAGCTGTTGCGGACGCTGCTGTTGGCGTCACTCGCTTAACGCCTTGACTGTGACGTTGCACTCAAAAATTAAAAAACGAAAGTGAGTCAAAGCCAAAGGCAGCTGTGTTTGAGCCGAAGCTTTGAGTCAAATCGCAGCCGCCTTTTGAGTACAAATGCATGAAGGCTTTGGCGTATGGATCATTCGCGAATCTCTTTGGCCTGTTTACCAGTCACCCAAAATTTCCGCTTCATGGCTGCAAATGCCCACTAAGTCTATCAGTCCGACAGTCCGACAGTCCGTCAGTCCGTCACACGGGTAGCGGGCCGCAGACAGGATTAGACTTACACAATCTGTGCAGCTGTACCCATCTCTTGAATTTTTATTGAGCTCTTCAATTTAGTACACGTACAGGTCTTCTTGAAGTAATGCTCTGTGTGGTAATAATCGTTAGTTTCGAGTCGCGTTTGCCGTTTTTTTATTGATTGCGTTGTAGTGCGTATCCTCACTAGCATATTCAGTTACTCAACCGTTTGGGCTTAACAATTTGAATAGGTGAATTCCGCATTCCAAGTGCCTTTGTGGCAACAATCGCACAAGCTACAATGATCAGTGATATCTGAGGCCTGCGCAACAGCCTAAAAAATTTTTGCCAAGAACTTATAGGGGAGATGGATGATGGACCAACTATTTACAAAAGTTAAATAATGCAGATGGGGATAGAAGAGGTGCTGCAAATATTAAAATTGCAGCTAACACATTATTGAGAGGCTTAGAAAACGAGCTTAAACACCTTATTCGCCATTTTGCTAATTCGCGCCCTTGTTTACAGAAAACCAATGTGGGTAAGGGGGCTGTTCCGTCAACTGATTTGTTTTTGCTTCCTCGAAATTTAAACTAAATACAACGATTGGAATTTTGTATTTGCATCGTATATTTAAACTCATTTCAATTTATTATTTTCTCAATGCCTAATTGGGCTTTTTCCTCATCATAAATTGGGGCTTGGTGAAATTTCAGTGTTTCAATATCCAGTTTTCGCTGAACTCTATTTGATTGATATTTGTCGAAACGAAAACATTTGGAAATTGTATGTTATTTGATTTTATATATTTTATTTAATTTTTTTTACCTCGAAGGCCGTTTTTTTAGTAGAATTTCCAGGAGATCGTCCTATGTGACTATCCTTTTATTTTCCGCCATAGTTTAAGACTTGCATCGTCCTCCTAAAACGCTTGTGAAGTTTGAGCATGAATAAATTGGAATCAATATTTGGAGTACGATAGGTTTTCAACGAATGGCAGACTACAAGACAATATGTTTGCAAGAATTTTAGGTTAAAACGAATAATATTCGAAAAGCATATAATCGGGCATATATTTTGTATATGTAAAAATCATAACTGACATTCAACCTAAAATAAAAACATGTTCGACCGACAAATGATTTCTTTACGTAAATTCTTTTCTTGCCCATTTTCATTATCCAAATGAAAATATCAAATCTGTCGCTAAGCCCTAAATAATATTCGCTGGTAGCCGCTTCCCCCTTTTGAAATGAATCACCGTAAATAACACCACGTGCATCCCAAAAAAACAACTGTGGCCATAACCTTGTTTGCCGACAGACCCACCTTGGCCTTCTTTGAGGCACGTTCACCCGAAGAAAACCGCAGTCTTGATTGTTCCTTGGTCTCTGGTGTGTTTTGATGGATCAAAGTTTCGTATACGGTAACGAAACGACGTAAAAACTTGTTTGGATTGAGACTGAACTTCGCCATGCACTCCTTTGAAGTTGTCAAATGGTTGCGCTTATGGTTAAGTGTCAGCAGTCGCGGCATCCATCGCGCGGATAGTTTATTCATGTGTAAACATTCTTGTAACATGTGATGTTCGCGCTCAGTTGACATTGCCATTTTGGGATCGTTCAATATGATTCAATGGATTAATCGTATATTTCTGATTTGAGCTTTTAACGTCTCTTGTGCACTAGCACACGACCACAACAGAAGTCAAGATTACAAGTACTCGACTGATTTCATTATTTGTATGAACACGATACAAAGGTGACAAACAATATTTGTGCCAAAAACGTCAGTCACTTTCTGCTGAAATTTGTATGCATCGGCTACATTTGCGTTACTTACGCTGAAATAACGTATATGTATGAAACAAAATGTAGCTGCAAAAGTTATTTTCAACGCCAGCTGCAGCATAATAGACTTGCTTTAACAAATTACTTTTTTGAAAAAGTTTCAAAATTCAACGGCTGAGACATCGATGATTTGAAATAAAGTAGACCTTTTCTATCTTTATAAAAATTAATTTGAGACACTTTTCGTGAATCCAAGCTTCCTTGTTGGAAAAAGCGGATCAACGATTTTTTGGACCAAGTTTTAAGTTTCAAAAATGTCGTACATTTTCAAAAATGTCGTACATTAATCCTTGCATGGCCAAAGGTTGAATGAGCAACGTTTCGGATGTAAGCTCATTTGCAAAGATCTCTAAGGAAATTTAACTGAGACGTATATTAGATTTTTCGCAAAAACTACGCCTTCTGGCAAAAATTCATATTAAAAGGAACTAGGGACGAAGTTTTAGATTAAATCCGATCGGCTTCACAATTATTTCCAAAGCTCTGCATAACAATATATTCAATATGTGCTTTATCTGTTTTGGAAATTAAACCCACAACTGTGGAAATTTGGCGGAGAATGTGGTACGTATGAACGCGTCCCTCTCAAAACCTTTTAGATCTAGAAACCTTTTGAAATTTTGAACGTATGGATGGAAATGATGTCTAAAGCTTGGACTAAAAACCTTCACCAGGTAAGGCCAGCTAGTGTATGCTGTACACATATGTAAGTGTTGTTGCCTTTAAATTTTTTTTATTTCCCATAGCTGGATTCTTTAATAACTGGCTGCGGACACTATATCTTAAAAAATGTTGTTTAAAACATCACTCATGCAATCACAAACTGAAATTTAATTTAATTTGTGGTTAGTCTTTTTAGAAAAAATAAAAAGTTTTTACCAATTCTCCGAAGATGTGAAGTGTTATGTGTCTTATAGTTTAACATTTTTATTTTTGAGGGTTTAATATTGGAAAATCAAAGGTCGCCAAAAAAATCATAAATAGATTTAAGTGTTTTTCTTCTATTTGTTTAGATATACCCCTAGGGGATGCCACGCACCAACATAAAATCCAGCTCGCGTTATAGAGATAATAAAAGTATTTTCAAAACAAATTAGTTCCCTCTACCGGAGTCGATCTAGTAAGTACCTTCAACCGACCGAACTACATTACAGAGCGGAGCACAATACAATCGAAGTTGCAATTCTGTTTCAATAATTTAAAGAAACGTATGTAGAAATTCTCTCTCTTCTTCTCAATTATTTCCACGTGGCTTGCCAAAATCACCAAACGGTTTCATTAAAAACATATATGCTTCACTACCTATTTATAATTTTTCATCAGGAGATCTTAATATGCTATAGAATATTCGTATATTTACAAGATGTCAGCATCTTTAAAACTGTGGTTTAATAACATAAAATTAGACACTATGTAGACAATATTCTAGAAGCTACATGTCTAATTTTGTGACTGTGGCTCTTAAAATGTAGAGGATTTGTTCAAAGAACAGGTTGAAATCGGGGCAAGTTTTCGATTATCGGACACAAACGTGTATTGCAGGCACCAGGCAGACCTAACATACGTTGAAAATTTCAGTTTTTAGGTGTTATAGGTTTTAAGAATGACTACGGACAAAAAGACAGACGGTCAAATCGACTTGGCGATTGATGCTGGCCGAGAATAAACTTTATGGGGTCGGCTTACATACATATGCACAAAAAGCATTATACCCTTACTTCAATGGGTTCAGGGTATAAAAACTGTTTACTCCTGCCGTAAGAGAGCATCTTTTATAACCAAACATCTCTTATAACCGGACAAAACCATTGCTGTGTTGGATGTCCTGTTATGGAAACATTCACAGTATTGTTATGTTTGTATCGGCAGTTGGGGCTTGGGTACAGAGTATCTCGTGGTCAGACGCACCCAACTAAAGCTCTTATAGTTGCTTTGATTTAATGTTATTTCGATTTGGTACCTTTTTATAACGAACGGAGACTCACACTAATTTCATAATTTTGCGCATATGCAAAGCAAAGGCTTTGAGTGTGTTTGTGCAGCTTTTGTGTGTATGTAAAATCTAATTCACCTTAAACTGATTTCGAGCACATGCAACGTTTGTGGGCCGACTCAAACTTCGACTTGTTTCGAGTTGCGTCGATTCGGATTTATTTTTGCTCGCCTGCTTTTATTTTGTAATCGCAAAACGTCAAGATACTTTATCTGCGCGCTGTTTTATTGCTGTTGCCAAGCAACACAGCGTATGCGTAATTTGTAGTTTTCCATGCATATCTTGCAAGCCAACCGCTGTTCTGTGTCGTTAACTCAAACCAGCGACATGGGCAAATTTAGTGACTGTAGCCACAGTCACTATTCAACTGGTTATCCTTCATGTCATACGCACACAGACAAAAAACCTGTTGCCGAAGGTAAAGAGCTCGAGTTATGATCTCTGGCCGGCACTGGTTTCGGTCACAGACAATTAAATAAAGTCAAAATCAAAATTAGCCAAAAATCGATCTTGATGCTGCTAGTTTTAATTTGCCTATATTTTTCATGTCTTTTTTTTGACATGTCGGCCGACAATTTCCGGCCTGTCAAAGCTTTGTATCGAACGTTACAATTTCGTTGCTCTGCATTTAATCAAATAAATGCATTCTGAAGTTATTTAAATACCCACGAACCAATATGAATATTGCCACAGAAATGACAACCAGCACCGGGAAATT